AGGCTACACTGCCCTGCTACAATGCAAGGTCAAATAACTTTAATATATAGATAAATATAGCATAAGTCAAAAGGATAAATTACACTAAACCTTCATGAACGTTCAGCATTTTACAATAAACCTCGAGTTACTTCTAAAATCACACGAAACCCACGATAAAAATTAGAATTGCAAAAAAACCCCAACAATTTTTTGCATTTTGCAGGTAACCACCATTACGGCTTCAGTCCGCGTTTAAGATCTAAATAATGGAAGTGACGAGATGAGAAAAGATATCTCTAGGCTTTAGTAACACTCTTCACGCAGACAACATTTTGTACATCTATTGATCTATAGAAGTCAGCAATAGGATTAGACCAATCATATGGAGCATAGTGAATGAAGCACAAAGTGCATTTGTCAAAGGTAGACAAATTACCAGTAACATCTCCTTGGCTCATAAGCTTGCTAAAAGCTATAGTAGGAAGAGGATTTCACCAAGGGTTATGTTGAATATTGATATTAGAAAAGCTTTTGATACAATCAACTAGAATTTTTTGAGGAAAATGCTTGAAGGGCTGAGATTTCCTAGAGTGTTGATTAAATGGATCATGGCATGCATCTCTTCCCCTAGATTTTCTATATCTCTTAATGGATCACTTCATGGCTATTTTTGATGGTAAGAGGGGCTTAAGGCAGGGAGATCCCCTTTCACCATATCTTTTCATCTTGGGGATGGAATACTTATCCAGGAAATTAGAGCTTTTAAAGGAGGATTGATTGTTCAGATATCACCCAATGTGTGGTAAGCTCAAAATATCCCATCTACTATTTTCGGATGATCTGCTTCTCTTTGCCAAATGGGACTTATATTCAATCCAGAAACTATATCAATGTGTGAAGGATTTTAGTGATACTACTGGACTGGAAGCGGGACTTATATTCAATCCAGAAACTATATCAATGTGTGAAGGATTTTAGTGATACTACTGGACTGGAAGCTAATCTGAGCAAATGCTCTATATACTTTGCAATGTGTGAAGGATTTTAGTGATACTACTGGACTGGAAGCTAATCTGAGCAAATGCTCTATATACTTTGGAGGTGTGAATGATACTGCCAAATCAGAAATTAAAAATATACTGGGTTTTTCAAAAGGGTCTCTCCCCTTTAAGTATCTGGGAGTACCTCTCATCTGTAAGAGGTTAACATATGTTGATTGCAATCCATTATTGGATAAAATCTCATGTCGGTTTCAGAAGTGGCTTAGACAAGTAACCTATCATATGCAGGGAGGCTTCAAGTGATCAAAAATGTGATCTTAGGTGTTTAAAATTATTGGACATCTAATTTCATTCTTCTTGTAAAGGTTACACAGAAGATAGATGAGTTGTGCAGGAAATTCTTATAAGGGAAGTCTGAAATTTCTTTTAGAACCCCATTGGTTTCATGGGATAAGCTATGTTATGGGGAAAAACATGGTGGATCGGGAGTTTCTCTGCATCTATATGGAATCTGGCTTCAGCTTTGAGGAGCCTATGGTATATTCATGTTAACAAGGAAATTTTATGGGTGAAATGGATCCATGGGAACTACTTAAAGTATAGGGATATATGGCATGTAATGGCTAAAAAAGGGGACTCTTGGATGTGGAGGCAGCTGATTAAGTGCAGGGATAAACCTTTGAATGTTACTGGAGGGATTGACAACTTGAAACAAATTCTCAGTACTTGCTATAAGAACTCTAAAATGCAGTTATCAGCAGTTTACACTGTTTTTTCCCCTGTTTCACATATTGTTCCCTGGTACAACACAGTGTGGGGGAAGTTGAATTTTCCGAAGCACTTATTTGTGTTGTGGCTTGCGATGCAGAATAGATTATTTACACAGGACATATTGCTGAGAAGAGGAGCCATAAACACAAATGCTTGCCTATTGTGTGCAGGTGCAGCTTCTGAGAGCAGAAACCACTTGTTCTTTGATTGCTCATATTCAAGGGATGTGTGGTTAACCATCATGGACTGGCTCAAAATGAACTGACAAACTTGTGAATGAGACTTACTTATGAATTGGTTTAACAGTAAACAGAGAGGGAATGGATTCAAAACAAATGTGAAGAGGATGGCTCTTGCGGCTGCTGTGTACAGGTTGTGGATAGAAAGAAATGTCAGATTTTTTCAGCAAAGGGTTAAAAGTGTTGTTCAATTGTTTAAGGATATCAAAATTGATATCTTAACTATATGCCTAAATAGTTCTATCTTAGATGAATATAGGGATTGGATAATATCTTTGTAATTTTGATAGCTTTCTTTTAGAAGCTTAGTTATCTCAATGTTGATAGAGTGATGTACATAATTTCCATATTTTGGTAAATGAATAAAAGCATTTTTCATTGAAAAAAAAAGAAGTCAGCAAGGGACAAGAAAAGAGAAGTTCTAGTGTATTCTCCTTTTCCCAAGGATAAAACTCTTAGTATTGTATTCTTTTCTTCTGTATGAACTTTTATTCTGGTAATAGCTCTAATGCTCCGTACTGGTTGCGGACTTTTGCCATGCTACCTAATTCTCAATAAATGGTATCAAAATATAGTTGAACGTACGTCAGTATCTACTAATAAGGTCCCATGTCGGTAGAAATCCTTTTCTTTAGAAAAATGTCGGCATCATTTCACTTTGCAGGTATTAATGGTGAAATCTATTTTTTTGCGTTAACATTCTCTACTGTTGTTTGTATTGTATAAGTGGAGAACAAGGTAGATGCTCCTGAGGAGAACAAACTTAGTTCCACCAAACAAGGAAAGAGGCATCGGATTTGTGATTTCAGTCTGATATCCTCAACGAATTCATGCGCGAGTGCGATCCTATAGAAATTTTGGTTGGATTTTATCCTTCATGAAATCATCCTACGTACATCTATGCAACCTACATAAGAGGGAAAATCCTGCAGTGTACACATGTTCTCGAAACGAAACGGAGCTCAACAAACGTCTCCTAGAGTGGGAGAAATCAAACCATAGTGTCTTATAGGTTCTGTTCGTGATGTATCTGCTCGATCTACCTTGTTTAGCATTCCACGAGAGAAACTAATGGAGAAGGTTTCTTTAGCATTCCACGGGAAGCTCAATATTCTCGTAAGTACTTAGGCAAATTTTATTTTGAATTTATTTTTGCTCAAACTCCATAGACTAATAAATTTTTGTTGTCCCTCTCTAGGATAATAAGGCTGGAACAGCAATTGACAAGAAAGCTATTGACTCCATGGCCGAGGAGTATATGTCGATCATGTCCACTAACTTCGAATCGGCGTTCCTTGTATGTCAACTTGCCTACCCTCTTCTTAAGGTATCGGGTGCAGGCAGTATCGTAAATATCTCCTCAATTTTTGGCAAATTATTCTAGATGAACTAACCCTTTATTTAGCCACCAACGATATTAAAAAATAAGGGTTTTTCTATAGAGTGCCAATGAGCACTCTATATAAAAGGAGAGAGATAGAGAGAGATGATTGAGGAGGGGCCCACCTGATTTGCATTGGGATCCCCTCCCCAATCATCTCTCTCTATCTCTCTCATCTCTTATAGAGTGCCCATGGACACTCTATAGAAAAACCCTAAAAAAAAGCCACTCTAAGTTATTAGGTTGGTACTTTTAGTAAGACAGACTTTCCAATGTGGTATTTTTATTTTCTCCATCAATATTAAGGCATTAATACTGAATTTTTGCTCGCAATCGGGCGTAAAGTCTCGTGTGACTGTCATGTGAACTTCTTGTGAAACCTTCATCAATATTTATTCTCAATTTAAACTAGAAAAAATTTCGGAGCTTACAAATCTACACAAATATTACAAATTTCGAACTATTATAATCATCGTTTATTCTTACCATATATTAAGCCACAGTCACATAAGCGTTTAGTAGGGCCTACAAAGGTCACATGATGCTTTCGCACCAGATTCTTCACTCTTTGGGGGTGTTTGGTTGCACAAATTTATAGAAAAGGTTTCTTAAAATGTCTGTCAATAACAATTCTGTAATTAAAAATTTTCTGTAGATTTCCGTAAACTGTGTTTGGTTCAAAAAAATTTAGAGAAATGTTTTCTGTAAAGTACAAAAAAATACCAAAATTTACAGAAATCAAATTTCTTTCAAAATGGACGGAAATCACCCAGAAGTCTGACACCATATTGACACTTTTCTATAAAGCTGACACTTTTCTATAAATTTAGGGGGTGTTTGGTTCAATTTCTACAAATTATAGGAAATCTTGCTATTTTCTATAAAGTTATGGGTTATTTTATTGTTTTCAACCAAACAAGCAAAGTAAAAAAATAAGAAAATTGGTACATTTTGAGTTCTCAAAACTTTTCCTATAATTTTTTTAAGAAATACAAGGAAATCATATTTTGGGTGGAAAACATTTCCAATAATATAATTTGTAGAAATTGAACCGAACACCCCCTTATTGAAAGCTGAAATTCAATATCAGTGTCTTAATATTGCTGGAGAAAATAAAAAATACCCTATGGGAAAGCATGTTTTGTTAAAAATACCAATTTGACAATTTAGAGTTTTTTTTTGGTGGTTGTTTTACGCTTTGGTTGCTAAATATAAAGGATTAGTTCATCTAGAACAATTTGCCCACAAGTTGAGGAGATACTGTCTACACCCGATGCCTTAAGAAAATGGTAGGCAAGATGAATGGTTCTAGTAGAGATTTAGAATTCTGGGTCCATTATGATGTTAAAATGTGAGTGGGATTGGGTCAATTCTCGGATCCCAAATTCTTCTGAATCCAAAAACTAGAATTGACCAAATTCCAGAATTTTAAATCAAATACCGGTTACCAAACATGCCATTGGGTGCATACAATCAGTTGACAAAAAAAAGGGGCCTGTGCAAAGAGGCAATATTCAAACGAATTTCGTTGCACCTGGACGCATCATAACAGCGATCGCAGAGCCTGTAAGTCCTCCGTTGTAATTATTTTTTTCACTGAACATTCAGCTGTGATTAACCAACTGTTCATGTGTCACGCCCCGCTTCCCAAAATACCCTGGAATCGGATCGTGAACAAGCCCGCGACGTATTAGACTGAGAAGAGATAAGTGCTAGACCCCGTCTTCTCAATCTAATACGCTAAGCGTCAAGAAATACAAACGAAGGCACAGGTCCCCGATCACAATCAGCAAGAATATAATAGACAAACTCAGAATGAAGAAATACATATCACAACGATCACAATCAGCAAGAATATAATAGACAAACTCAGAATGAAGAAATACATATCACAATGAATAACATCTGAGACATAATATTCGGGTCAAACGTGCCCTTATACAAAAACTATCCGAATGAGATACTGGAGAATGTAATAATACACTGAACAAAAGGATATGAAAGTGCTACAAAACAAACTGAAAGGAATGTCTAAGCTTCGGCTTCTTCTTCTGCTCCATCCGCTAGGCACTCCTGCTGAGAATCCTCTGGCTCTTGTTAAACCTATTCTTCCTCTAAGTCTGACGTACACCAGAGAAAATAGGTGTACGTCAGGTACATGGCGCACGGCAAGACCCGACCCCACAAAGAAAATAGAACGAACGGAAATCCAATGCGAAAAACGATACGACAACAGAAACAACAAAAGAACGTACAACTAAAATCCACAAATCAACATGAAAACACTACTAAAACATGATAATCTTAAAGCATCCAAAATCGATCAGGTAACGAGGTCATGCAACTAGCGATCAGAACAATCATACAAGTCACAAAGTCATACAACTAGATGGAATTAATACTTAAAAATCTACAACATGAGACGTAGTACGTCGAGCGAAATAATCCAAACAAGGAAACCCTCATGTATATATCATATGTCTCAAATTGTAGATAATTAAAATATTAATCCCGATCTATGTATGAAAAGATAATACAACTGATCCGTATCTTACAAAAAGTCATACCTAGCATAGAAACAAGGTCAAGTAACTAGCCATACTATAACAGTTCACTGGTCACATCTCACACAGAGTCAACGCTCCTATCACCGGATAACTGGCTGTTCACAAATCCCCTACGCGCATCCAATCCCGCGAAACAGGCGGCTAGAGGACTACACGCAATCCGATCTCGGCCCGGTCCGGACTCAGGCAAAGCTCAGGTGACGAAACAGGTCACGGATCCAAGTGGCGAAACAGGTCACTTGGTCCATCAAACCAACCCCAGGACGAAACAGGTCTCTGGTGCGGCCTGGAAGATACATCAACAGCCTTATCCGATCATTTGAACATTAACTTCCCCATCCCAACTCTTTTCGTTTTTCTAAATTAATCATAATCCTCATTGAAACTCGGGTTCACCACTTAAACTCAGTCAACACACACACACGTGTCACTAAGTCTGTTCATGACGCACGAGGCCACTAAGTCATGAACTACTAAGGGTTCTCAAACACAACATGGAACAATCAATGCAGCTAATCATATACAATAATATCATATCAGATCAGATAATCAAAATTAAGATTTTGAATCATATATATATGGGTCATGTGAATCTGCGGTGACTCTGTAGGCTGTCATCTGAGGATGCGCGATCTGGGTCGTTTATTCAAAATCCCTCAGAGAGATCTGAGCCCTTCGTTGAAAATCTCATCCCCCCAAAATCCCTACCCCTCTCTCATCTCTCCCGCCCAGATCGCGCCATCACCTCCCGCCTCCTCCTCTCCAGCGCCCGAAATCGCCGCCGGAGCTCGCCGCCCCCGATCAGCGTCGCCGCCGGCTCAAGATCGCGCATTCGGTCGCCATCACCGACCTCCTCCCCCTCACCACCGCCCGAAAGCGCCGGCGCCCAAGCTCGGCCTGTGTCTCGACGTCCCCGATCAGCGTCGCCGCCGTCCCCTTGCCCTAGCCATCACCTCCCCTCCTCCTCTCCAGCGCCCGAGATCACCGCAGCTGAGCGTCGCCGCCGGGTCATCGCCGTCTACTCGTCCTCGCCATCGAGCTCACCCCTCGTCATCAGCCACGCCTCCGACGGCATTCGAGCTCAGCCCTCAGGTTCATCGCCGCCTCCGGAGATCGATCAAGCCCTCGACGTCATCCTCGCCATCACCTCCCCCCTCCTCTCCACCTCACGAAATCGCCGCAGCCTGCGCTTGCCGTCCCCGCTCAGTGTTGCCGCCGGCTCATCGCACTTCGCCGCTGTCGAGCTCGCCTCCACCGAGGTAAGGCATCAGGTCTAAATTAACGTGTTAGTTCTAACTGAAATGCATGTTAGCTAGCTCTAAATTAACGTGTTAGTTTTAACTGAAATGCATGTTAATGCTACCCGGATGCATGTTAGCTCTAATGGAGATGATGTTAGTTCTATTACAAGGCATGTTAGTTCTAGTTGGCGTTCCTGTTAGATCTAGTGGATTTCATGATGGTTCTATCTTCCCTCATGCATATTCCTTGGATCTATCTTCTTCCTTTTAATTTCAGCTCATACATTACTTGGTTTGCAGCACTCACTCTATGGCTACGAGCCGGATAATTTAGAGCTATTTTTGCCATGTATTGTTAAATTGGATATAAACTTTAAATTTGGTTTAAACTATCGTTTAGAAATTGTTTAGTGAAATTGAAAGATCAACTTGATGACGTTTTTTGAGCGATTTTGAACTTCTTATATGTGATAATTTGATAGCTTGTATAGACACTCCACCAATTCTCTCACGTGAGGCAACAATGGAAGAAGATAAAAGCCAGGACCATGATCTACTATCTACAACATGGCTTCCCCCTCAGGTGATAATATCTTATTGTTTATAGTGTACTACTAACTAATGACATATACCAAAATAGTTGTCTTTTAGCATGAGTTTTGTTTCTCTATTTTTATAGGCATCCGAGCATGAGGAGAATGGTGATGAGCTTATGGGCGTTGAAAATGGTGAAGATAATTTAAACAGCGTTGATCCATATATCGGAATGGAGTTCTCTACTCATGAGGAAGCTTATAATTTCTACAATGCATACGCCAGACTTAAGGGATTTGGTGTTCGCAAGGGTCACACAGCTTGGTCGAGAAAGAAAGATGCAATCCTATCTAGAATATTTGTATGTGACAAAGAAGGCTTTAAATCTTTAAAAGATAAAAGAGAAGATGGTCGGAATGTAATTCGAAAGTTCGATACAAGATGTGGATGCAACGCAAGGATGGTTATTGGACTTGATAGAAGCACTGAAAAATGGGTGGTCCGAAAGTTAAACAGTAAGCATAATGGTCATCCATTAACCACCCCAACTCGGGTAAAGAAGCACTACTCACATCGGACACTTCATCGAGCTCAATCGACAAAAAGGTTGATAGATACTCTTGACAATCAAGGTTTACGGCCTTCTGCCATTTGTAAGGTTGTAGACGTTGCTCATGGCAATGAACAAGGCTCTCTCACTCAACAAGAATGCCAAGCACAACTTAGACTTAAACGAAGAAACAACGTCGGCCATGAGTGCGTGAACATAGTTCGTCAATTTCAAGAGAAAAAGGTATCTGATCCTCAATTTTACTTCGCACTTGATTTAGAAAATGATGGGACGATGAGAAGTGTTTTTTGGATGGATGGTAGGGCGAGGACTTCTTACTTGCAATTTGGAGATGTTGTTTGCTTTGATGTTACATATAGAACGAACAATTTAAAATTGCCGTTTGCACCATTTACGGGCGTTAACCATCATCGACAGTCTACTCTATTTGGGTGTGCGTTACTGGCCGATGAAACGGAGGAGACGTTTATATGGTTATTTAGCCAATGGTTAAAATGTATGTCGGGTATAGCACCAGTAACAATCATCACTGATCAAGATAAAGCTATGTGTGGTGCTATTTACAAAGTTTTTCCTAAAACTCGCCATCGCTTTTGTTCTTGGCACCTTCGTAGGAATGCCTTACAAAATCTTCAATCAATGCATAATGATTATGGTGAGGATGTTGGTGTAAAGTATAACAAATGGTATTGGAGTAAATCGGAAGAAAAATTTGAAAAGCGTTGGGAAGAAATGAGGGACAAATATGGTGCAGATAAAAGGAGTTGGTTAGTAAATTTATACAATCATCGAGATCATTGGGCTCCAGTGTATCTTAAAGACACTTTTACTGCAGGAATGACATCTACTCAGCGGAGTGAGGGAATTAATGCTTTTTTTGATCATTCTGTGAATGTAAATACCGAGTTACATGATTTTGTTAAGCAATATGATAATGCTGTCAGAGCTCGCCGAGTCGCTGAACTTGAGCAAGATTTTAAGTCCACAAACTCAGTTCCTACATTGATAATTGAACATCCCATTGA